CTGACCTATCTGATTTGGAGGGAATGGTTGTGGCTCTTCGCGCCGAAAAGCAGCAACTAGAATCTGACAGAGCGCATATCGCGCAAGAAATATCTCGTCTACAGCATGATGACAGTCTGCGGTGGGGTGTAAGAGATGCTGACGAAGAACAAGAGGAGCTGTTCTCTGGCGAGACGTGAATTGCGCATGGTGAGGTCTCTCTGTCCCCGGAATTCCAGACTTAGTTGCTGTACATCATACATACCGCTCGTTCGCGAGCGTCGACGTATGCATGACCCAACACGCATAAAAACTACGGCGGGGGTCAGCGCGTACAAAGAATCCACAATATAAAACGCTGCTAAGCCTGGAGTTCCAGAGGTGAAGACAGGCTCGCTAGCCATTCGGAAATAGCCACACCCTATGCAGAATCACGAAGCTATTTCAAATAAAGGTAGGCGCTAAAGCACGGAAACTGGCCCTGAAGATCGTTCAGCGGAAGATCCACTGCCCTCAAAACGCATTACTGGCACTCGATATTGTGATGCAGAAGGCAGTCGCCATGATGGAACGGCGGTGCAAACATGAAGAGGCTTCTACTGGCAAGATTGCAGTATTCCGTTGCGGAAGGATCTTGAGGTACTTTTCCCGAACAAGATCGCTTTATTAGAAAAAACAGCGCAGGAATTCAAAAACACGCGCCGCGCATGTTTCCTGCGTTTTTCTTGACCAGCTGCGCTTACGATGTACATATAATAAGATCTCACGTACGAAAAGTTTGGGGCAACTGTAGAATGCAGGTTCGATCTAAGATGACAACTACAAACGTCATCGGGATCTGGACGATTGAGGGGATTGTCTAATCTCTCAGTATAGCATATAAAATCTTGGTCATCTGCCGGTTGTTTTACAATGGTCCTCTCCTACCTAGCCTTTCCTTTGCCATCTCCGCTGTTTTGACCATTGCTTCGCTCATGCCGTGGTTCTCTTTCTTCGTCAAATTCGGCCATGATGATAGTCAAACCCATTGCCATGAACGAATAAGCGTGCCGCGGTCCAGAGTAGAGACTGTCATAATATTTGTATTGTTTCGAGCGTCCTGCTTGACTTACACTGTCTGAAAAAAAGAAAAAGGCCCGCACAGTGTCAGTATGACTAACTCTACACTGTATACTCTTAAAGTGGTATAAGACCCCTCATAAATGTTGTGCAGGAAAGACGAACAGGTACTGAGAAACTGATCGCACTGTGCAGGCTCCTCAGGCACGGAGAAATTACCCACTTTGCATGCCCATTTACGGCTTTTTAGCGCCAAGCCTAAATTTTAGAGAGAGTTGCATTCGAGTTCATCGGTGACAGGCTCACGTATTTGCTGCGACCTCGCTCGGGCTGGCGCGTTTTGGTTCGCCTGTGTCTGCTGTGATGGTCTCTGCCGGTGTAGTGAAGAGCTTTACAAACCAGAAAGCAGCAGATAGTCTTGATTCGCTGACGTGTTTTGAAACAAAAACCAAGCTTCTTTTTTTTGCACAAGAAGACAACAATTTGACTGTGAATCATATTGCCTGTCCTAGACCGATTGCTGCCGCGCGATCGGCTTGTACCGTTTTGATGTGTAGCGTAAGCGCAATCGAGTCAAGAACGCAAAGAAGGCTGCTCGGCGCGTTTTTCTATAGTCTCTCCCTGGTTGATCTATTCGCGCTCGCGCAGCCGCTCCATCATGGTGACTGCCTGCTGCATCCCGGTAGCCTGTGCCGGCGATGCCTCTCAAGGGTCGTGGGTCTTCCACTGGACGATCTTCGGGGCTAGCATCCATGCTTAACTGAGCCCTACCCTTCATGAAAACAGCTCGTGGCCCTGTATAGGCCGTAGCGGCTCCCAGACTGCCGGTGAGCCGGGACTTCACTTCATTTATCGTAGTTTTTCCACATGCACGAGCCCCGGCACCGTTCGACAGGCGAGTTGCACCTTTCCCGTGGGTGCATCGCCGCCCCCACATTGGATATCCCGTCCTGCCATCTCTAGGAAGGCTTCTGAGGTCGTGTTCCGCGGAAGGGTGTGAGCCAAAACAGGCCAAACCAGTGTCACACTTTTGATCAAAAAATAACAATGGTGGCAGCTTTTCAAGGCTGCGCAGTGGCGCCGGCAGAACCTTACCGGATCACCGAAATTATTTGCAGCGGGAAACAGCAAGTCCGGTTGTTACTTTTACACATGCACCAACTATTGCTCTCTAGAACAAAGTCAGTTTTTTGGCAACGGCTGACTTGATTCGTCGGTAGATTCCCGCTCCTCAACGCAGTTTTTGGCCAGACCCAGCTCCGCTTCAGGGCCACTCATCGCAGCTTTCAGCTAACCCAGAAAGAAAAATTTCCAAAATAAATTAAAACGCATCTGGAGATGGACGTGCGCCAAGAAGCGCCCTTTGCTCGCGAGTAGCTGCGCCAGTTCACTCTCTCATGCGGAGGCAGCTTCCAGCCAGGCCAGATCCATTAGTCACTGCCTTCTTTCGGCCCTCAGCGTAGGCCATGGACGTTGTGCAGCGCAATGTGGGCTTAGAGGATGCGCAGCAGGTTCCGTGCACCTCGCTACTTTGCGGTTACTGTAGATAGTTCCTCTGCCTGCTGAGGCTTCCTCAGGTACAGGCACGAGCAAATCTTGGCTGCGTCGGGCGACTACTGTAGCATTCGCAGCGAACACAGCAGGCTGTTCTTGCTCCTGTACACTGGCCGCAAGTTGCGGAATCTGGCGGCCTGCAGCGAATGGTCTGCGTAACAGCACGTCCCGCACGCTTTTCTGGATCTAGGTACCGTAAAAACCGTTATGGGC